TCTGTTAAAAGTCCAATTGCTTTGCTTTGCTTTGATATTACATATATGTACTACATGTGGATCACTCTCAAATTTGTTCATTTCATGATGATATCTTCAATTCTCTAATTTTGATGAATATTTTTGGTAAAAAGTGATGTTTTTGAATTCTTGTTGAAAACAGCAAGTCCCATAGCATTGATACTATGCATATTGTTCATTTTCTAATGATATCTTCTGTTCTTTAATTGAAATGTGCATTGCGGAGCTATCTCAGCCGAGAGGCTGCTTGTTTTTATGCTCTACTGACAGCAGAGATTGTCATATACTAATTGTCTATCATCTTCAAAAACTGTAAGCCGGACTGCGTTTTATTTACCATGTATTGACAGTTTTCATGAAGATTGCCAATATTACAAAATAGAGGTGAAACTTGTGGTATTATTTGTGGTATTTTATTGGTTGAAAGGAATAATAATGTGTACAGATCACTACAGAGTTACCGGTAGATCTCTAAGACTGTACCATACATTTGACACACTCTGTCGTTTTTCTTTTTTTTTTTTCAAATTTTAATTTACTATGATATTGGGCTTATTGCTACGTGCTCAGTTTAACCTTTATCTTGTCAATTCAATGTAAAAGTACCGGGGAGCTGGCAGGATATGGATTGACCTGATTGAGATTTCTATTTCTTTATTTTATATACTATAAGCATGAATTGTTAAGCAGGACTGATATTACAGATTCTTTATCTGAATTCATTGTGGACAGTTTCAGTTCAAACTTGGACCGTGTAATAGTACGTTATGTAAACAAAGCGATTGTTGTTCTTTCAGAGATGGGTGCCAGCAGTGATGCAAAGAAAAGCAAGAAAGGAAAGAAAAAGCAGTTACTGTTCTCCACCTCTATACGCTATAAATGATCAAATAATCAAGTTTTCATCTGAGAATCAATTAAGTTCTGTTGATAGTAACTTGCAATGATTTATTATATATTTTAAACCCAAAACTAATCTCTCGCTGCCTGAAAAATTGGGATTTGAGAAACAGAATATTGAATGAACTTGTACCACACTGATTCATATGACCTTTTTTCCTGGCTTTGTGTTTAATCTTTATCTTTTGAGTTTGGTGATCTCGTATAATTTTTTTGTCCATCTGTTATTTTTCTGAACAGCATGCTTTCACCAATTTTGTTGAAACAAAAAGACAAGACAAATAAAAGTTTGATTATTTCATGGCATCAACTGTTTCTTGGACATGCCATTTGATTTTAATTCAATTTAAGGTAGAATGCTACACAAAAGTAAAAAATTAAATAAAAATATGAAGTCATCGTACTCAGTTGTGAGCAAATCTGCAAATAACTAGCGACAATAGCATGTTTTGGCTGTTTTAGGACATTTTTACCATTGTTTCCTATGGCAGATATTTCAAAATTTTGTTCACCAAAACGTGGTGTAAAAATGATATGTAATGTCTTACAAGGTACGTTTTGATGTCTACTAGTAATAACAAATTGAATAAAAAATAAAAACAAATTGACTGTGAACCTGAAGTTCACAAAAAAAAATTACTGGTAATTGTAGACTGGTTTTGTCACTGCTATATACGCTGAAATATGCACACGCGTAAAAAAAAACAAAAAAACTTGAGAGTAGCATTCTACCTTGCTAATACATACTTGTTCTGTAGGTTGTGCAAATGCAGTACCACACATTGCTCACTGTTCCAAATACAAATGAGTGTTATGAGCATATTAAACAAATATAAAATAGTTTACAATTTTGATATAAAATCGTTCTAACTAAAAGACTTCATTTTCAAGTTTAGCAACAAAATAATGAAGTATGGTTCTGAAGTAGATACTTGATTTCCCTACTCCGATTTGGTGTTAGTGACTTTTGTGTTAATTCTGCCAAATACAGAGTGGATATCATTCTTTATATTAAGTTTAGTAAATGCCCCAAGGCTTGTTTTTGGTAAATTAGAGTGCAGTCGTCAGCGAGTCACATGAACACAAGTTGTAACCATGTGTGTGCATATTGCTAAATTTAATTGTATCCAGCGCTTGTTGCAATGATCAACAACTTGGCTGAGCACCAAGATTTGAAACTGAAGAAGAGATTTTGACCTGAAAAAAACTTTTAATGAACATTTTATTCATGTAAATTAATACGGCATTAAGTGTGGGGGGGAAATGTTTTGCCAATATTTCTGCGGAAATGATTGTACTTGAAAAAGTTTTTGAAAACTTGTATTTCACGGAAATGTTAACTTTAATCGTAGTTGCATTCTATTTCATTTTCAACTATTTTGCGAGTGCTGCGAATTGTAAATTAGCTTTATTTTATTTACTGTGTTGAATGAAGCTAAACAAATAAATTGCATATCTACCAGACTTGTTGTTTTTTTCATGCCATTGCTATATAAAACTACTAGGTCAATTGCAGATAAAGCTGTGATTGGCCAAGGTAATCTTCACTTTCATATCTGTTTCGCCAAACTGTATTCAGGATATTTTGCAGGCATCTGTTTGAATCTTCCTGTTTTGTTAATTTCCTATGATTGTGCTTCATAGTAAAGGGCAGGTGCTCAAAACACTACTTTTGAATATTCTGATCTTAATTTTTTGAATCCCATGTGCAAAGCACACAACAGGAATATTTGTGGTTTGTGAGTTTGTATACAAGTCTGTTCCACTGATATCTCAATAACCATTCACAGATTTCTTCCCAGACAATTAAAGAGTAGGGATTCCCAACTGTTTTTGATAAACAAGTGACCATTAATTGTAACAATGAATTTATTCAACTTGTTATATTATGCAAATGCTTGAAATCTGTGCATATT